GGTGCTAATAGACAGCTATGAAAAATATATATGAAAACTATTTTGGTAAATAGTATGGTCTACAGTTTATCATGAGGTATTCTAACTCAGGCGAGCAAAAACTTGAGACTTCCTTAACATTAGAGGTCGCGCACCAGCTGTTGTTAACAAAGACACACGCCCCGACCCACTCATCTTACCCGAGGCTACTGACCGGTCTTGATGATCCTTGGAAAAGCCAGTGAGATGTACATTGAGTATATAAAACATTAAGAACACCTGCCCTTTCCATGACATAGACTGACCAGGTAAATCCAGGAGAAAGCTTTGATCCCTTATTGATGTCACTTGTTAAATCCACTTCAATCAGTTTAGATGAAGGGGAGGAAACAGGTTAAAGATGGATTTTTACGCCATGAGACAACTGAGACATGGATAGTGTATGTGTGGCATTCAGAGGTTGAATGGGCAGGACAAAATATTTAAGTGCCTTTGAATGGGGTATGGTAGTAGGTGCCAGGCACACCGGTTTGTGTCAAGAACACTGCTTGGTTTTTCACACTCAACAGTTTCCCGTGTGTATGAAGAATCGTTCACCACCCAAAGGACATCCAGCCAACTTGACACAACTGTGGGAAGCATTGGAGTCAACATGGCCCAGCATCCATGTGGAACGCTTTTGACACCATGTATAGTCCATGCGCCAACGAATTGAGGCTGTTCTGAGGGAAAAGGGAGGGGAGGGGGGGGGGGGGGGTGTAACTCAATATTAGGAAGGTGTTCCTAATGTTTGGTATACTCAGTCTTTCGAGTCACGGGCATTAGGACCTGGTCCGGAGTAAGCAGGACGTTCAGGGCGGCCGACTTGTTGTAGTAGAAATTGTCATCCAAATCAAGGTTAGTGATCGCTGTTCTGATCTCCAGAAGCGGTTTTCAGTCATAGGAAATGATGGTGGAGACATTATGCACAAAAAAAGGTCAGCATAAACAAACACAGAATATTGGTCAGGAGTCCGTAAAAGGGCTGCTATCCACTGCAGTGCAATCTTAGATTAAAGATGTGTGTGTGTGTGTGTGTGTGTGTGTATCTGTGACTGCATGTGAGTACTGTGTATGTGTTTGTGTGTGAGCACTGTGTGTGTTTGTGACTAAAAGCCCTCTTCACTGATTACTGGACCAGAGGCCAATGGTCTGTTGTGATAGAATATGTACAGTGGGGAAAAAAAGTATTTAGTCAGCCACCAATTGTGCAAGTTCTCCCACTTAAAAAGATGAGAGAGACCTGTAATTTTCATCATAGGTACACGTCAACTATGACAGACAAAATTAGATTTTCTTTACCAGAAAATCACATTGTAGGATTTTTTATGAATTTATTTGCAAGTTATGGTGGAAAATAAGTATTTGGTCAATAACAAAAGTTTCTCAATACTTTGTTATATACCCTTTGTTGGCAATGACACAGGTCAAACGTTTTCTGTAAGTCTTCACAAGGTTTTCACACACTGTTGCTGGTATTTTGGCCCATTCCTCCATGCAGATCTCCTCTAGAGCAGTGATGTTTTGGGGCTGTCGCTGGGCAACACGGACTTTCAACTCCCTCCAAAGATTTTCTATGGGGTTGAGATCTGGAGACTGGCTAGGCCACTCCAGGAACTTGAAATGCTTCTTACGAAGCCACTCCTTCGTTGCCCGGGCGGTGTGTTTGGGATCATTGTCATGCTGAAAGACCCAGCCACGTTTCATCTTCAATGCCCTTGCTGATGGAAGGAGGTTTTCACTCAAAATCTCAAGATACATGGCCCCATTCATTCTTTCCTTTACACGGATCAGTCGTCCTGGTCCCTTTGCAGAAAAACAGCCCCAAAGCATGATGTTTCCACCCCCATGCTTCACAGTAGGTATGGTGTTCTTTGGATGCAACTCAGCATTCTTTGTCCTCCAAACACGACGAGTTGAGTTTTTACCAAAAAGTTCTATTTTGGTTTCATCTGACCATATGACATTCTCCCAATCCTCTTCTAGATCATCCAAATGCACTCTAGCAAACTTCAGACGGGCCTGGACATGTACTGGCTTAAGCAGGGGGACACGTCTGGCACTGCAGGATTTGAGTCCCTGGCGGCGTAGTGTGTTACTAATGGTAGGCTTTGTTACTTTGGTCCCAGCTCTCTGCAGGTCATTCACTAGGTCCCCCCGTGTGGTTCTGGGATTTTTGCTCACCGTTCTTGTGATCATTTTCACCCCACGGGGTGAGATCTTGCGTGGAGCCCCAGATCGAGGGAGATTATCAGTGGTCTTGTATGTATTCAATTTCCTAATAATTGCTCCCACAGTTGATTTCTTCAAACCAAGCTGCTTACCTATTGCAGATTCAGTCTTCCCAGCCTGGTGCAGGTCTACAATTTTGTTTCTGGTGTCCTTTGACAGCTCTTTGGTCTTGGCCATAGTGGAGTTTGGAGTGTGACTGTTTGAGGTTGTAGACAGGTGTCTTTTATACTGATAACAAGTTCAAACAGGTGCCATTAATACAGGTAACGAGTGGAGGACAGAGGAGCCTCTTAAATAATAAGTTACAGGTCTGTGAGAGCCAGAAATCTTGCTTGTTTGTAGGTGACCAAATACTTATTTTCCACCATAATTTGCAAAGGAATTCATAAAAAATCCTACAATGTGATTTTCTGGATTTTTTTTTCTCAATTTGTCTGTCATAGTTGACGTGTACCTATGATGAAAATTACAGGCCTCTCTCATCTTTTTAATTGGGAGAACTTGCACAATTGGTGGCTGACTAAATACTTTTTTCCCCCACTGTATATTGGAGACCTTGTTGAATGTGGGCCTTCAGGCCAGTGCCTGGGGAATTGTGTGCTATTGGCTGACCTGCCAGCTCTGTACAGATGCAGGATCTTAATCTTAGCCAGCTTGCAAGAAAATAATCCTGCAGCAACAGGAAATTTGAATTATTATGTGGGTTATAATTAATGTAAAAAAATAAAATAATAATTTGTTAGTGTAAATCAAGTCGGAAATGTCAAACCTTTTAGTTTTTTTAAACCTTGAATACACTACAAGTTCTCAGCAACAAAAGAGTGATCAAATTAAGATGCTAGGGGAATATCAATCATACAAGGCATAGACTCATCAACTCATCAACTCATCCTTGACCGTCTTCCCTTCCGTCTTCAAGAGAGCGAGAGTTGCACCCCTCCTCAAAAAACCTACACTCGATCCCTCCGATGTCAACAACTACAGACCAGTATCCCTTCTTTCTTTTCTCTCCAAAACTCTTGAGCGTGCCGTCTCTAGCCAACTCTCCTGCTATCTCTCTCAGAATGACCTTCTTGATCCAAACCAGTCATGTTTCAAGACTGGTCATTCAACTGAGACTGCTCTTCTCTGTGTCACGGAGGCTCTCCGCACTGCTAAAGGTAACTCTCTCTCCTCTGCTCTTATACAACTAGACCTATCCGCTGCGTTTGATACTGTGAACCATCAGATCCTCCTCTCCACCCTCTCCGATTTGGGCATCTCCGGCGCTGCTCATTCTTGGATTGCGTCCTACCTGACAGGTCGCTCCTACCAGGTGGCGTGGCGAGAATCTGTCTCCGCACCACGTGCTCTCACCACTGGTGTCTCCCAGGGCTCAGTTCTAGGTCCTCTCCTATTCTCTCTATACACCAAGTCACTTGGCTCTGTCATATCCTCACATGGTCTCTCCTATCATTGCTATGCAGATGACACACAATTAATTTTCTGCATGTCTGGCAGACATATCAGTGTGGATGTCGGATCACCACCTCAAGCTGAACCTCGGCAAGATGGAGCTGCTCTTCCTCCTGGGGAAGGACTGCCCACTCCATGATCTCGCCATCACGGTTGACAACTCCATTGTGTCCTCCTCCCAGAGTGCAAAGAACCTTGGCGTGACCCTGGACAACACCCTGTCGTTCTCCACTAACATCAAAGCGGTGACCCGATCCTGCAGGTTCATGCTCTACAAAATTCGTAGAGTACGACCCTACCTTACACAGAAGGAAGCACAGGTCCTAATCCAGGCACTTGTCATCTCCCGTCTGGATTACTGCAACTCGCTGTTGGCTGGGCTCCCTGCCTGTGCCATTAAACCCCTACAACTTATCCAGAACGCTGCAGCCCGTCTGGTGTTCAACCTTCCCAAGTTCTCTCATGTCACCCCGCTCCTCCGCACACTCCACTGGCTTCCAGTTGAGGCTCGCATCTACTACAAGACCATGGTGCTTGCCTACGGAGCTGTGAGGGGAACGGCACCTCCTTACCTTCAGGCTCTGATCAGACCCTACACCCAAACGAGGGCACTACGTTCATCCACCTCTGGCCTGCTAGCTCCCCTACCTCTATGGAAGCATAGTTCCCGCTCAACCCAGTCAAAGCTATTCGCTGCTCTGGCACCCCAATGGTGGAACAAGCTCCCCCACGACGCCAGGACAGCGGAGTCACTGACCACCTTCCGGAGACACTTGAAACCCTACCCCTTTAAGGAATACCTGGAATAGGTTATGTTATCTGTCTTTCATCTGAGGACATACACATCCCTCTGAACCTTTCGATTAAATCTCAGGGTCCATGGAAGCACACACTCGTGTTGTTATTTCATTACACTTGCCAAGCATACTGGCCAATGATTCTGTCCGTACAAACCTGGTTATCTGATGTCAGAGAATTCAGGATCTCAGAGAAAAAGAGAGAGAGAAAGCACCATTATATGGTATGCTGTAAGTATCTAATTATCCTAGTTGTCCTGCAATGCCCCATTCCCACACAGGAGATCAACCTCTTGGTTGTCAGAAAATAGCCAATGTAGTCAATAATATAGAGGCAGACGGTCACATAAGTCACGGGGATCAGCCTTAGGTGTGGCTTGGCGCTCGACCGCATCCCGATGTGCTGTCACAAGCCTCTTGGTCTTTGGCACATCCCTCAGTGTTGTGATTAGCTAAATTGCCCATAACTCACAAACACTTGTTTATAAGGGCTGACAGATGACACAGTCATTTAGCGGAATGAATGACCTGCCTGCTTCTGTTGTGAGCAGCGTGTCCGTGGGACGGGCCGCCTGCCTGCCCTGCGCCAGCCGAGCCCAGACCATCTGTGAATCACCCAGCAGGAGAGACCAGAGTGGACCCCTGAGGGACAGAGGGAATGAGAGAGAGGGGGAGGCAGAGAGAGAGAGAGAGCGAGAGAGAGAGAGAAAGGGAGGGAGGGAGGGATGGGTAGGCAGAGTGAGAGAGGGGGACTGAGAGAGACCTGGAGAGAGACCTGGAGAGAGACCTGGAGAGAGCGAGAGAGAGACCCAGAGACCCAGAGACAGAGACAGAAACTAGGGGTGTAGGGGTCAGAGATTGAGGTGGGGTTAGTAATTCAATTAAATTCAGTGGGAGTTTTTTAAAGACTTACAGTAGCTTACATTTTGTGTGACTGTGTTTTATCAGTTATTCTGAATGGAGCCTGTTGTTCCTCCAACATGCTGCTATGATTCATCGTCGCCAAGAGCCAAGAATGGACTTTGTCACAGTAATTAATGTAGCTCTCTGGACGGCAGTTGAAATTAGTCTTGTCTTGAAGGCCTAATTAAAAGGAAATTGTCAAACATATTTTGGGTCAAGTTTCCGAACCTGTAGCCATTCAGGAAAGCTTTTCAGGCATGACTGTGTCATTAGAGAGCTCTTTCAGACTGACACAATTTAGGTTACAAAGGCCTTTTTTTTTTGCTATTGAGATTATAATTTGTTTTATTTAATAAGGCCTTATTCATTTGACAGCTTGTTTAGTAGTCTTATTAGTCAGCTACTTGACCCATTTTTGCCCAATGCACAATCCTGATGTCGCCGGATCACAATGTATTATTCCCCCAGCAGTCCTGAATGTCCCTCATCTCCATGCTTGTTGACCGCTGTATCAACAGCAGCTCTGTCCTCATAAAGTGAGGCAATGGCCTTTGTCACGGGCGCAGGACGGCTCTAATGGGCCCCTCCTCAGACAGACAGACAGCAACACTCACAGAATCAGGTTCTGAACAATTAACCGTGAGCTATGGGGCTTAGCTACCGACTCCATTGTAAGCGATCTAAACCCGTAAGACTGTGACAAACCATTAACAGACTGCCAAGGCTTCTTTAAATTGCCTCAACAGTTTACATTGAGCTAGAGTGACTGAGTGTGTGGTGTGTGAGTTTGTGCGTGCGCTCGTGCATGTGTACTGTGCACACAGGTGTGTATGTGTTATCGGAACACTTCGCCCACTCCATCCTTACATTAACACAGAGTTTTCAGTGCTGTTGAGTTGCTGAATTAGTACTGCCTACATTGTTATTGAGTAATTTTCAGATAATGGCCAATTTCAGTGTTTTTAGGGAAATCTATCTAATCATTAAAATAACAGAGGTGCTCGCTCACATATCCCTCTGTAAATACTGTAGATTGTTAGTGAACATGGATACACAAGTATTATCATGCAATGGTGTGTGAAATTGATGTGTTTTCAATATACTACTAGGAATTTGTCTTTTGAATAATTTTGATTGTTTTCATTTGTACATGATGTTACCCTTATCTTGGTTGTATCTATGCTTTATCAACTGATTTATTTCAATGATAACGAGTAAGCACTTATGAATGTGTTATAAAACTGCAATAGAGGAAATTGCCTACAACCTGAATGAACAGTCTATACAGCCCCTTCAACCGCTGTATAGACTTTGGCATTTAAACTGTAATTACTACTACACATGATGCGCTTTTTATGTGTGCATTATAACTCATTTGATTAAATGAAGCTTGGTTCACAATATGAGTGGGCCCAGCTCTCTATATCACAACCAACTTGTAGTGCAGTACTGGCTATAGTTCACATTTCTAGATTAATGTTTGGTGGATGTTCCACCTTAAAGGCATATCCTGGCGTGACCATACGTTGGCGTTTGCTACCATTAAACATTAAAAGCCAACCACAGGATTGGGAGCACGAGATCACAGGAATACTCAGAATCTGCCAACCATCGAAACCCCATGCGTTTCATTTCCTATTGCATAAGACCCGTCTATGCAAATTCATCGCTGCGGTGTTCCACCAATCTTCATTAAGCTGTCACCCATGGTTGATATTAAATGTTTAACACAATGGTGGATGTTTGGTGAACAAGCAACAGGATTCAATTAGGATAGTAGAATCTTTGGGCAAAGAAATGAACGTCTTGTCTTGTTACTATTATGTGAGGCCTCAGCTTTACATGGTAGTAGTGTCACTTAGGCTGTGTTTACACAGGCAGCCCAAATCTGATCTTTTGCCCATAATTGGGCAAAAGACCAGAGTTGGACTGCCTGTGTAAACGCAGCCATATTGTGATATGTAATGGTGGATTCGAAGACACCTTGTCTGTGAAATTGTTGTTCAGTGGATCGTGTTGCACCTGTTTCTGTCCCTCTCTGTGATTAGTCTGTGACTAGGCTGAGCAGGGAACATAACTCATCTCGTAGCCAAGGTTGTAAATATTACCCCTTAATTCATGACAGTTCAGTCTGATCATGTCTGGTTCTAGACACACACAAGGATGGGAGCGGGAACACACACACACACACACACAGATGGATTTTCATATGAGAATTGAAGCTGCCTGGGGCTTTAGTATCAACTTAAAAACACCCAAAACATCTGTAAAACATTACCCCTGATTATTTGCTCCTCCTGCGCAACCTACAATATGCGCATAAGTGATGTTTGTACATGAACCTTATGGAAATGAAAGAGCTGATAAGGTCTCCTCTCTAATGAAGTTGTGAGGCCACCGACGCACAGACACACACACAGACATGTACACACACACACACACACACACGCACGCGCACAGACATGCACGCATGGGAGCAGGAACACACGCACACACACACACTCACACACACACACACACACACACAGACACACACAGCTCGCAGGCTCAGTTGTGTGTTCACATCTGCAGTTCCCAGCTGCTCTACTGTGTTCAGAGCTTCCAGGTGCATTGTTCTGGGCCTGGTCTGTTCTGGTCTGTGGGTGGTGCCTCCCTCTCCATGGACTGACTGACTGATACAGACAGCATAGCGTGAAGGAAGCAGAGCAGACGTTAAGCAACACACCTTGTTACTGTAAGTAATGACCAGGTCTTCAGCCATCTCTCCCCATAGCTGTGTCTGACTTCCTTTTGCTGGGGAAGCAGAGGAGAATGTAATGAAATGTACTTTAGCTGGACTTTAGTTGTTGCTGGATCGTTTTTACTCTAGAATTGAGCTGAATTGTTGCAGGGAATTTTTTCAATGATTCGGCACTTTGTTATTTTTGGACATTCCACAATGTGTTGTTCTGGCACCATGAAAACATTTCTTGAACTAGTGTTGTTATAGGAAAAGAGCTTGATGGTTCACTTCCACGTCGGCACACCACCATCACTGCACCCCTGACACGTTATTGAACCTTTGGTTACCTCTGTGAAATATCAAGCTCTTAAATGGAACCAGTGCCAAATCGTATAACATGTGCACAACCAAAACAAAGTCCTAGGCTTACTACCAAGGCACACAATATTGACATATGGAATTATGGAAATGTCTCAACCACTATGCAGTCTCCAGCAGATCTAGATTAATGCAGACCTGGGTTCAAATACTATTTGAAGTTTTTCAAAATACTTTGAGCGTTTGCTATAGCCCGCCTGTGGTGCCAGATGGCCAGGGTTTGCCGTTTTGTGACTATTCTATTGGTCCAGTACTGTCAGCTCATCAAGCACGGATAACGTAATTTGAAATTATTTCAAATAGTATTTGAACCCAGGTCTGGTATGTGTTGTTGTAATGTTGCCACATCGCTCGTTTCAACTCAGCGATCGTTTGTGTGAAAGGAAATGTAGAGCTTTGGTTTGTAGGAGAAGTTCTGCTCCATTTACCAGCTCTCTTTGATGACTTCAGCAGCACTAATTATACAGGCGCCCGCCCGCCGCCGTCACTACAGACCCAATCTCTAAGTGCATCACCCCCCAACCTTTTACTCTGATATCTCAATGCATCACTACGGAGTCGCTTACCAGCCTCCACAATGTCTCACTAGAATACTGCTGTACCTAACCTATGCTTTATGATGGTGTTTTATGGAAATGGCTCATGGGAATGTATATAAAGTGAAGTTCACAGCTCACAGTAATATGTAACATAAGTTTGGGTCTCCGTAGATTGCTTTGTTGTCTGATGTGACATCTCGGTAAGGCAAATAAAGCCTTCAAGCATGAAGCCAATGTTTTTCTGTAAAGGAATGTGTACTACTTGTCTGTAGTAACAGATTATATTGGAGCCTCAATGCATCGGAAAATATAACTGTTTAACTTTTACACTAGTGTACATTGGACTGGCTAATATTATAAGATTAACAGTTATATGTTTAATCTTCATAGTCATAAATGTGCATTTCTTTACATATTAGATTTTAGTCATTTAGCAGATGCTCTTATCCTGAGCACTTACAGATAGTGCATTCATCTTCAGGTAGCTAGGTAAGACAACCACATATCACAGTCATAGTAAGTCAACTTTTCTTCAACAAAGCAGCTATTAGCAAAGTCAGTGCTAGTTAAAAAAGACGTGCAAATGTTAGTGCAAGAAAGGTTAGGGTGTTTGTTTATTATAGACTTTTTGCCATAGTTCTACCCAGCCACAGTCTCTCTCTGCTGGGCTTGATAATTTGCATGCAGACGATGAGACACAAGGGGAGTTTTAGTTAGTCGAGGGCTGGAATAAGGTTCTGCTCCATTTACCTTTCTGAAACATTCCCCTCAGAATGGGACTCTCTCTCTCTCTCTCTCTCTCTCTCTCTCTCTCTCTCTCTCTCTCTCTCTCTCTCTCTCTCTCTCTCCTCATTCAACTGTGACGTTTTGTCATTCCACTTCATTCCAAAATGGCTTGACGGAGCTTTACCACCTCAATGCTGTCCGCCCACCCCATCCTGGTCATTTCACAGCTACATTTCTCCACCTTATTCACTGTTGTCTTCAGCCATGTCTCAAGTAGCGAGGGAACTTCTCTACTCCCACTGTGTCTTCATAGAAGACCTCAACCGACCCATTTGATTACCGTCTCTAAATGGCCGTCACTATCTGGCCAAGTTGCAGTCGAAAGCAAAGCCTACTTCTACATTTTATCTTCTTAAAATCTGATTTGAAACCTAACTTTAACCACACTGCTAGATTTATGCTTAACCCTAACTTTAAATGAAGACGTTAAAGCAATTGTTTGTTTACATAAATTTGTACAATCTAGCCAATTTTGACTTCGCAGTTTGGCAATCTAGTGAGAACCTCTCTAAACGCCTGCTCTTTGTCTCTCTTCCCACCTGGCCATCTCACACCACCTCAGCCATGCCAGCCCCAGCCATGTCCCTAGCAACCCCACACGCCCCCTATGACACTCTGAACCGAGTGCCCCTCAGGTTGGTTCATGGCTATTGGATTATAGGCCTCCAGCCTATGTGTGTTAAATTAGGATTAAGGTTAGGATTAGGGCAAGGAAATCTGATCCTGGAACTGTGCTGAATGGCACTTCACCCCTCGGCACATGGTGGTGTCAGAATAACCTGACCCTCATATACTACGGTCTCTCTGACTGCAGTGCTACAGTACCTCACACCCACCCACAGCTGCAGGCCACCTGACGTGACTCACATAAACTCACACATTCTGGATCACAGACTCTCGAACGCACGCATGACACAAGCACACATGACCCACACACACACACACTCCCGCTCACACTCTGACAGCTTAGCCCCGGGTCTCCTTTCTCAGTACAAGATCATTCATAACAGCTCAGGTTATTCTGAGAACAACCTAATCAGAGAACGAAAGAGAGAGTAATAATAAGTTCTGTTATATTTAATCTAACTGCAATAGTTACTCTACCTCTCATAGGTATCGTTTCTTACTCGTTGGTGCTGCTCGACCTCCGCCTACTTCTTCTTGGCCTCCTTGGATGGCAGTAAATGAGTCACAGGAAGGGGAGTGATGCAGAACAACAACGTTGGGCACCCGCGGCAGTCAGGTTCTCGAGCTCCCAGTAGAACCTCTGTCAACGGCTGCAGTGTTTTTCCACAAATTACAAGGCCCTGTGCTGCTCCCCTCATTTCCACCCCCTCTCCCACCACCCTTCCTTGGCTTGGTACCGGCGCTCCCTCGAATTCCTAGCATCTGGTCAGTTCTAGGAAACGCCTACGACCGTCCAGTGGAAGGAAATGGGAGACTCTTGATTGTACTGAGCCCTGTGAATAATGTGTCACTCATAGAGAAGTTGTTGCTGAGTAGCGGGGGAGTCTCGGTCTTGGTTGTCAATAGAGACCTTCTAGGGATTCTGGGGGAGCGTAGTAGTTTCTGTTTTGCTTTGACTCCCCGCTCTTTGTAGCTTTCTATCTCATTCCTGTCTCTTCTCAGTGAGGATTCAGGGATATTTGTAGGATATTTCTCCACAGTCAGATAAACAGGTGAATAAACAGAAAAGGGCAGGTATTCAAGTATTTACGGAACACTCAGAAGTCTCTGGAAATCAAAGAAAATACACAGCAATTTACCATGTAATTTTACATTTGCCTGTGAATATAGCTATAATTTGGTCCTTTTTCCAATAACAATAAACATGTTGGCAATGGCATTAAAGTCAGATCTATTCTCGAGAAGTAATGTCTCCTCTCACAATGAAGTTGATGACTAAGGAGAGCATTGCTATTAAGAGTCATCTGGGTTGTTTCGAGGATACTGTGATCACTTTGCACCATGGGAGAACCATCTACAGTGCATTCGGAAAGTATTGAGACCCCTTGACTTTTTCCACATTTTGTTATGTTACAGCCTTATTCTAAAATTGATTAAGTTGTTTTTTTCCTTATCAATCTACACACAATACCCCATAATGACAAATAAAAAACAGTTTTTTAGACATTTTAGCAAATGTATTACAAATAAAAAATAAATATCACATTTACATAAGTACTCAGACCCTTTACTCAGTACTTTGTTGAAGCACCTTTGACAGCGATTACAGCCTCGAGTCTTCTTAGGTATGACGCTACAAGCTTGGCACACCTGTATTTGGGGAGTTTCTCCCATTCTTCTCTGCAGATCTTCTCAAGCTCTGTCAGGTTGGATGGGGAGTGTCGCTGCACAGCTATTTTCAGGTCTCTCCGGAGATGTTTGATCGGGGTCAAGTACGGGCTCTGGCTGGGCCACTCAAGGACATTCAGAGACTTGTCCCAAAGCCACTCCTGCGTTGTCTTGGCTTTGTGCTTAGGGTCGTTGTCCTGTTGGAAGGTGAACCTTCGCCCCAGTCTGAGGTCCTGTGCGCTCTGGAGCAGGTTTTCATCAAGGATCTCTCTGTACTTTGCTCCATTCATCTTTCCCTCGATCCTGACTAGTCTCCCAGCCGCTGAAGAACATCCCCACAGCATGATGCTGCCACAACCATGCTTCACCGTAGGGATAGTGCCAGGTTTCCTCCAGACGTGACGCTTGGCATTCAGGCCAAAGAGTTCAATCTTGGTTTCATCAGACCAGAGAATTTAGGTGCCTTTTGGTAAACTCCAAGCGGGCTGTCATGTGCCTTTTACTGAGGAGTGGCTTCCGTCTGGCCACTCTACCATAAAGGCCCGATTGGTGGAGTGCTGCAGAGATGGTTGTCCTTCTGGAAGGTTCTCCCATCTCCACAGAGGAACTCTTGAGCTCTGTCAGAGTGACCATCGGGTTCTTGGTCACATCCCTGACCAAGGCCCTTTTCCCCCGAATGCTCAGTTTGGCCGGGCGGCCAGATCTAGGAAGAGTCTTGGTGGTTCCAAACTTTTTCCATTTAAGAATGATGGAGGCCACTGTGTTCTTGGGGACCTTCAATGCTGCAGAAATGTTTTGGTACCCTTCCCCAAATATGTGCCTCGACACAATCCTGTCTCGGAGCTCTACAGACAATTCCTTCGACCTCATGGCTTGGTTTTTGATCTGACATGCACTGCCAACTGTGGGACCTTATATAGACAGGTGTGTGCCTTTCCAAATCATGTCCAATCAATTGAATTTACCACAGGTGGACTCCAATCAAGTTGTAGAAACATCTCAAGGATGATAAATGGAAACAGGATGCACCTGAGCTTAATTTTGAGTCTCATAGCAAAGGGTCTGAATACCTATGTAAAGAAGGTATTTCTGTTTTTTATTTTTTATACATTTGCACAAATTTCTAAAAACCTGTTTTCACTTTATCATTATGGGGTATTGTTTGTAGATAAATGAGGAAAACAAATAATTTAATCCATTTTAGAATAAGGCTGTAACGTAACAAAATGTGGAAAAAGGGAAGGGGTCTGAATACTTTCCGAATGCACTGTATCCTCTCTGTTCACTTCATATCCCACAGATGGCTCACGGCACAGTGCATGGCAACTTCAGTCTGTCTGTGTGGTCCACTTCCAGCATCTTCCAGCCTCACAGTATGGCTGTTTTTCAAATGCTCCTGGTCAGACCCAAACCCAGACTGCGTTGTGTTATGGCCGTGTCTCTCTCTGCTCACACCTCACATTTCAGAGTTCAGACTGTGGTGTTTCCATATGACCATCCTTCCCTTCGCCCCCTCTCTCCAGCGCTGTCATCCTGGAAGCTGCAGAGATGGATCAGGGCGTGTGTGCGCGCCAATTTTTTTGTGTGTTAGTTTGTGTGTGTTCGAGTGTGTGTGCATTCTCACATTGATGTGTGTGTGTGTGCGTGCATTCCAATGTGTGCATGTACGCGCCTGTGTGTGTGAATCAGGGTGGGGAACCTTTGCATCACAGGGAGAAAAAACACCATCCTTCCATCCCTCTCTCCGTTGATTTCTCCATGATGAAACAGCTGGCTTCATATCAGCCCTGTCCTCAGACTCACCCCAGAGACCCTATCAGTGTTGAGGCAGAACTGGTACGTCCACATTCACCCACACTCTTCCTTTGCTATGATGGAATGAAATACAGAGTAGAGTATTTGGATGAAAGTTGGACCTTATTTGCATACCCACCCACGTAAGCAGACTTGAACCATTGAAGGCTCCCTTATAAAACTTGGACATTAGTCCAGGGTTTCGGCCTAGTTCCAAGTAAGTCTTGAGTCTCAATTGAAGGGCTGCAAGTCCCAAACCCAGCCCCTTATGGCACTAACAATTAGTTAACTGTTAACGTGTCAATCTTGAGTAGTTATTGGTGAAGGTATGCACCACGGCAGTAGACGTGACCACACAAAATGTCAGACTGCTCTCTCTCTCTTTCTCCCCACCCCCCTCTCTCTCTTGCTTTCTCTCCCTCTCCATCCCTCCGTTTGGTGAGTAACCCTGGAGCTATTAATCTGCAAATCCACAATCGATGTCTGCCTAATCTCTTTTCCACAGATAATTATGTTTTCTTCCACACGTCATAGCCCTTCTCTCTCTCGCTACTTTGTTTCTGTCCGTGGGATGCTATTATTGATTCAGTCTGCCCACTAGCCTGCATGCATGTTGCCCACATGCATCACCATGTATTCTACGGTAAACCAAAATACATGGTTGAATGAGGGGGGAAAATGGCTATTAGAAATCTATGTGCAAAATGTTGCATAATTGAGCTGGGACCTATTTTTTAAGTGATGCACTGAAAATCGTTAATTTGGTCTGAAAACGTCAATTATTGTTTAATAAGGGGAAATCACCCTCGTGGGTTCGGTCTGTCTTTGTGAATTTTCCCTCAGAAACTGTTGCATTGCTTGACATACAGTATCTATATCTGTTTGCGTCATTTTAAATGCTTTGCATACCACATTTTATTTATTTGTTATTCTTATAGTTCATTTCTCACCTTGAAGTCAAGGATAATTTTTTGAACTTGTGGACTTGCACTCACTGACCTCCACAGGTTAAGCCACAGACTGTGTGTGCAGCTGAAGTTTCTCGCAGGCCAAAGAGAAGGTAGAGACTTCCTTACCATCCTGCTGCTGTCCATTGGACTTCACTGTCATGGTATAGTCCTCTGTAGTGGATAGAGCCTGGCCCTTGTAACACCAAGATAGTGGGTTTGATTCCCTGGACCACCCGTACATAGAATGTATGCACACATGCCTGTAAGTCGCTTTGGATAAAACCGTCTGCTAAATGGCATATATTATATATTATAAACTGGGTGGTTCGAGCCCTGAATGCTGATTGGCAGACAGCCGTGGAATATCAGACCATATACCATGGGTATGACAAAACATTTCCAACATAATTAGAGCAGTAAAAATAAATGTTTTAATTATATTATAGCATCAAATGGTGTCAGTTTGTAGCTGATTTTCCCTCAAGCACTCTTTACCCCAACACCATGTGATCTCTCTCTTCTCTGAACGGCCACATACTCTCCACATCTGATGTGGGTGGAAAGTGTTCTCTTCGTTGTCTTTTCATAGTGAGAAGAGCTTAATTGGTCAGGTAGAATGTTTTATGTTGGGAAACATTGCTTCCTATGTCGAGGCATAGCACCTAGAGTGATCATTTAGAAGGATTGTAAATTACATTTGTGTTTGAATATGTTTTTCAGTATTGGTCTGTCAAAGTTACACAGAAAAAAAGTGTCTGCTTGTATTTAACAAGCACAATACATTTGCACAAATATGATTTGTTAGGATGTATCATTATAACAATATGGAGGGTATACTGTATTCCACTGTATTTTAGTCAATGCCTGTATTCCGACATTGCTCATCCTAATATTTCTATATGTCTTATTTCCATTATTTTGCGTTTAGATGTGTATATTGTTGTGAATTGTTAGATACTACATTTACATTTACATTTACGTCATTTAGCAGACGCTCTTATCCAGAGCGACTTACAAATTGGTGCATTCACTTATAGCCAGTGGGATAACCACTTTACAAGGTTTTTTTTTGGGGGGGGGGGGGGGGGGGGGGTAGAAGGATTACTTTATCCTATCCCAGGTATTCCTTAAAGAGGTGGGGTTTCAAATGTCTCCAGAAGGTGGTGAGTGACTCCGCTGTCCTGGCGTCGTGAGGGAGCTTGTTCCACCATTGGGGTGCCAGAGCAGCGAACAGTTTTGACTGGGCTGAGCGGGAACTGTGCTTCGGCAGAGGTAGGGGAGCCAGCAGGCCAGAGGTGGATGAACGCAATGCCCTCGATTGGGTGTAGGGACTGATCAGAGCCTGAAGGTACGGAGGTACCGTTCCCCTCACAGCTCCGTAGGCAAGCACCATGGTCTTGTAGCAGATGCGAGCTTCAACTGGAAGCCAGTGGAGTGTGCGGAGGAGCAGGGTGACGTGAGAGAACCTGGGAAGGTTGAACACCAGACGGGCTGCGGCATTCTGGATGAGTTGTCTGTTGGGCATACTACTGCACTGTTGGAGCTAGGAACAGAAGCATTTCGCTACACCCGCAATAACATCTGCTAAATATGTGTATGTGACCAATAAAATGTGTTCTGATTTGATTTGATTTAAATTAGACAGGATGTTGATATACTGTCGCTAATGACAGTGTCATTTACTTCCAAAAGAAAAGTGAATGCCTAAAACATACCTTTTCAGACTTTACCAATGAACACATAAGCAAAACCTATCGATGTCTTATAGTTTAATAAAAGTAGTAATATTCAAGGTTACTGATTTGTTCAGAAGTAAAATCAGACCACATTGATGAAGGAGAGTTTGAACCAGGCGTTAGGTCCTTTGGCAGCCAGTAGGGGGAATCGACTCCACACACTACTGCCTGCCTGTCTGCTGTCCCCCTCTACCCGCTCCTTTCTCTGGCTGTGGAAATACTGCAGCCCCTGGTCTATGTCTGGATCGCTTTCTTGCACGGAGCCGACTCAAGTCCCTCCTACCGGCTGTGGAAGGAGGAGGCAGTCAGCTCACAGTGCAGGACGAGCCCCCTTTACCGCCCTGTTACAGTGTGGAGGAGAGAGAGAGAGAGAGAGAGAGAGAGAGAGAGAGGAGAGAGAGAGAGAGAGAGAGAGAGAGAGAGAGAGAGAGAGAGGGAGAGAGGGAGAGAGGCAGGCTGTTGGGAGGAGTGACAGAGTGAAGCAGGCAAGAAGAAACAAGGAACACATTTTAGAAGAGCAGGAAAAGGGAGGATCGCAGACGGGAGACTCTCTGGATTGTCTGTCTGTTGGGCACCTGGGACACTGTCATTGTGCTTCTCATTATTCAATTTTTTGTCTCTTCTTCTCTGAACCGGTGGACCGGTAGAGATTCCTTTTTTTCTCAGTGCCGTATCAATTAGGAGCTGGGATTGTTTCTGTGTAATCTGCACTTCTCTGGCTGAACTGTTAAACACTGAGATTGCTTCATTAGGTTTGTTCCTGCCTGTCTAGGCTCTCGCGTTCCGATACTGACTCTTCCCAAAGTGTATCTGTTAGCGCGCCGCTGAGGATATAGCCTGTGTCCGACAGTACAACACAGAGCAGCTGGGATATCAGACTACAGAGGAGAGAGAGAGAGAGAGAGAGAGAGAGAGAGAGAGAGAGAGAGAGAGAGAGAGAGAGAGGAGAGAGAGAGAGAGAGAGAGAGAGAGAGAGAGAGAGAGAGAGAGCAGCCGAGTGAGCGACAGAGAGAGGGAGGCAGATACAGAGCGTAAGAGAGAGATTGAAGCCGAGGAGCGAGGTAAGCTATAGCAAGACAGCTTAAATATAAAAGTGATCTAGCTATCCTCCCCCTTTTCCTTGTCTTTCTATTTCTCCTCTCCCACACTGTCCCGTGCCACCAATTTGTTTGCAGGACTGCCTAAAGCCACTGCCACCTGCTCCTCCTCATCTTCCTCCGCTACGGCTCTTCTCACGCGTTACTATCCGACACCAGCCAGTGAGGGACAGACAGGACAGGCAGCAGCTTCCATTTTTAACACTCCAGGAGATTTAACTAAAAGGCGTCGCCAGGCAGGACCTGCCCCCACAGAGGCAACCCCTCTCCCAGCCACTCTCCGTCAGACGAACCCTGCCTGCTCTCCGGAGGACCAGCAGTGATACAACACACCAGTGTGGACGGGAAAAAATAAGGGACCTACAGTCAGAGAGCCAAGCCCCAGTACTACTAACACTCGTCCGCTGCCTCCGTGTAACCATTCCCTGCCACGGCGCTAAGGATTCTAGCTACATGGGCAAGCGATTGGAACAGCAACCAATGTACCCTCAGTACACATACTACTACCCCCACTACCTCCAGACCAAGGTAGGGTACCCACAGCTCATCACTTCAGTACCTTTAACCTCCCTCCCACAGCCCTACCCCAACCCTCTCCCCTCCTCCATCCTCCTCCTCCCCCCTCCTTCGCTCCTCCTGTCAAGCCGCTGAGTGGGGATGGGATGTGATGGATGACTGGCCTTGGCCGTAAACGTTTCAGATGGCAAGTGGCTTGCTGGTGTTTGCATGTCTCTGTCACTTGGTGAGGCATCACAATGCTAGTTTGTCCAGCCTCGGTACGGCTAGTGGAGCTGTCCGGAAGGTTGATTAATTGAGGCTAACTGGATTGGAGTTTGATAGATTTCTCCTATGTTGCGATTGTTAGGTTGGCAAACTGTTAATCGCACTGGCTTTCATGTTTCTTGGTCTGTTATTTTCAGATACTGATCATTAATATTGGGTGAAATATCAAATTACGGTGCCGTGGCATGAGTCAGAAACACAATCAGAACCACAATGGAAATAAGCCTCCAGGCTTTATTGTGTTTATATCCTCGATCATTTTTAATGTATGCAATGTTGTCTACGGCTGGAGCAGCCTACTACTTTTAATTATCTAATACATTCAATCAATCAACCAATGAGATGACTACCCACCCATATATCCTACCATTAGTAACACAATAAAAGCCGTTACTCCTATCCTGACTCAGACATGCCTTCATCATGATAACCGACATGGTGGCCAGCCGCAGGCTGACAGTAAACATGCATCTGCCAGGGCTGCCCATGTTTGCTCTAGCCGTTGTACGCATCACTACCTCTGGCGTGGAAACCTGGACTCTGGTTGGTGGCTGATGACGGGACAGTCGGGCAGACTTGAAGTCCTCCGTCATCAAAAAGATAAACTAATGCAGATAAAGTATTTCGTCATCTTCCCTCCCTATTGTAAATAGCTGCTGAGGTAGCTAACTGGAGAATCTTAGAGAAGAATATCGGCGGCCCCACCTGGTAGCCCACTGGTTTCTCTTCGGATTTATAGTTGAATACATTTGTGCTGCTTCCATATGCACCCTCCCCACTCCCTCCCTCCTTTTCTCTGTCTCAGAGCTCATCTCAGGTCTCTCAATCAGGGGTATGCCCCTCATCCCTCCCTCCCTCCCCACTCCACTCCACTTCAACAGGCATCTCTTCTTCCCCTCTTCACCATCACCTCCCACTCAAGGTCAGCGCAGACAGGATCTTGCCTCCATCAGCGATTGATGTATCTTTGAGTGCAATATCCATGTCATGCAAACTCGTCCGCCCAACAGCAGCGAGCAAGCCAAATAGCAGTGCATTTATCATGTTTAAAGTCGTCAAGAAAGGGTTTTATTTTCCCGGCTAGTTACTCTAGCTAATGCCCATTAGTGGTATGTATACCAAATGTATGTATGGGACTGTGACCAGGGCCAGTGATGTGAGAGCAGAGAGCTCTCTCTGTCTTTGTGACAGAGAGTGCAGGGAGGTAGAGCTGCTATCCCACGCTCCCATTAATGATCATTGATCGGTAGAGTAGAGGAGAGGGCCTTGGCAGTTAGGCGGGCAGGTTGGGTCCCAGCATCAGATGGCAGCTGCTTGGCCTCACAGGCAGGAAGCCCCCCTCCCCACCCTGAATTAAGCATCCGTCTACAGTCATCCAGGTCTGTCTGTTAATCTTCATTTCAGCATGCTCTTGATATGGCCTCATTATCCCAAACAGCATAAATAACTGCAAACGATGAGGAATGGGGTAGGAATTTCATGCCATTCTCATCCTTTCCGACTCCATTTTATGACGCATATCGGCAATGCTTCTCCAACCGCCGAGGAATATATAGAATCTACAGAACATCTGGGTTCTATAAGGATGAAAGACTATTATGTCTAACGTCTTCTTGGTATGACAGAATTTCATAGTCGAAAGGCATTTTTCAATTTCAATTTCAAATGTCTCATGTCGCCACATATAATTCACTGGACCCGCCACTGTTTAATGAGCACATTCCAGTTGACGGCGAGGATTAACATGTAAAACTCAGAAATGAAATGAAACGATAACATTTGGCCTTCTATTGATTAGTGCAGTGGAGCATAGCATGTGCTTCTCTTGAACAAGATTATTGATTCCTGAAAGAGCATTTTTGTGGCTTGTTTTATAAGGGATGAAGGTGAAGGGAGCCTGCAGGACAGTGCTTTGATAAGGGAATCGTTTAAAGGCTTGTTTCTCCTCCCATGCTGCTCTATGAACGAACGGAGCCAACGCTGAATCTCTCTCAGATATGATACTTTATTGAACATTGTGACTAGGATTTCACTGGTATTCTGTATTTGATTTGAGTATTTGTTTGATTTTAATCATAAGTGAATGATAGATGTTTTACAAATGAGGAAATTACAGTAAATGTATGTCCCCTGAACAATTAAGCCTCACAGATCAATTATGTAATGTAATGATAGTTATTATGGGAAATGTGTGCATTTCATCCAAACGCTATGTCTGTTGGCAACATTCTGTTTGCCTTGGCATGTCTCATGATTATCCTTATAAACTTGAATTGACAGTTATTTTTGTTTGCGACTACAGAATTTCCAAAGTACAAGTTGCGGAAGATCAAGTTAATGTCACAATAGATATATTTGTATGTCTTTTTTTTTGCCCATGGGAAATCCTTTTTCAATCAATCTCCTTTTCAATTAACTGCCTCGCAAATGCGGAGAAAGTAATCTTCTTCAGTATAGCCTACACCTGAGTCCACTGTACTACTATGACACCATTGATAGGCCTAGTCATTACACCCCTCCTATCAAGAGATCAGACAGACACACACACACACACGGTCTGTGTTACAGTCATGCTAGTAGAGCATACAGGGAGAACCTGAGAAGCTGAGGGGCAGACACAGAGATAGATTTAACGCAGGCTAATATCCCGGGCCTTAAGTAAACACCAGTCAATGGAGCCCATTGAGTGTCTCTATGCCTGTGTCTGCCTGGACCTTGGGCTCCATTTATACTCTCTCTGATTCCTTATAGTGGGAGGGTGGGGGTGGGAGATGGGGGCCAGAGGGAGGGCTGGAGGGAGGGGCAGGTTAAAAGCAAGGAAAAGGGTTTGGTTACATTACACGGGGGGAGCCATTGTGCTGCAGAAATAACAACCGGCCCATCTAAATCCTGCTGCTTTCAAGCCTGTCTAAGAGCCGCTGGCTGGCCAGTTCTATATCCCCATTCTGGGTGTAGCCTTTCAGTGTATCCTAATCAAAAGCAGAGGAAATCATGAGCTCTACGTTTTTTGTTCAATTGGGTTTTAATGGTGGATATGCTGTGAAACTGGGATAGGAACATACACTAAACAGTGCATTCGGAAAGTATTCAGACCCCTTGACTTTTTCCACATATTGTTACGTTACAGCCGTATTCTAAACATGATTAAATTGTTTTTTTTTTTCCTCAACAATCTACACACAATTTCCCATAATGACAAAGCAAAAACAGGTTTTTAGACATTTTTGCAAATGTATTACAAATAAAAAACGGAAATATCACATTTACATAAGTATTCAGACCCTTTACTCAGTACTTTGTTAAAGCACCGTTGGCAGCGATTACAGCCTCGAGTCTTCTTGGGTATGACGCTAAAAGCTTGGCACACCTGTTTTTGGGGAGTTTCTCCCATTCTTCTCTGCAGATCCTCTCAAGCTATGTGAGGTTGGATGGGGAGCGTCGCTGCACAGCTATTTTCAGGTCTTTCCAAAGACCTTGTCCCGAAGCCACTCCTGCGATGTCTTGGCTGTGTGCTAAGGGTCGTTGTCCTGTTGGAAAGTGAACCTTCGCCCCAGTCTGAGGTCCTGAGCACTCTGGAGCAGGTTTTCATCAAGGATCTCTGAGTTTTTTGCTCCATTCATCTTTCCCTCGATCCTGACCGCTGAAAAACATCCCCACTGCATGATGCTGCCACCACCATGCTTCACCGTAGGGATGGTGCCAGGTTTCCTCCAGACGTGACGCTTGGCATTCAGGCGAAAGAGTTCATCAGACCTTTAAGTCCTTTAGGTGCCTTTTATCAAACTCCAAGCAGGCTGTCGTGTGCCTTTTACTGAGGAGTGGCTTCCTTCTGGCCACTACGATAAAGGCCTGATTGGTGGAGTGCTGCAGAGATGGTTGTCCTTCTGGAAGGTTCTCCCATCTCCACAGTGGAACTCTGGAGCTCTTTCAGAGTAACCATTGGTTTCTTGGTCACCTCCCTGACCAAGGTCCTTCTCCCCCGATTGATCAGTTTGGCCGGGCTGCCAGCTCTAGGAACAGTCTTGGTGGTTCCAAACTTCTTCCATTTAAGAATGATGGAGGCCACTGTGTTCTTGGGGACCTTCAATGCTGCAGACATTTTTTGGTACCCTTCCCCAGATTTGTGCCTCAACACATTTCTGTCTCGGAGCTCTACGGACAATTCCTTCGACCTCATGGCTTGGTTTTTGCTTTGACATGCACTGTCAACTGTGGGACCTTTATATAGACAGGTGTGTGCCTTTCCAAATCATGTCCAATCAATTGAATTTACCACAGGCATACTCCAATCAAGTTGTAGAAACATCTCAAGGATGATAAATGGAATCAGGATGCACTTGAGCTCAATTCTGAGAAAGGGTCTGAATACTTATGTAAATACTTGTGAAAAATTGTTATAGAAATTAGCAACATTTCAAAAAACCTGTTTTCGCTTGTCATTATGGGGTATTGTGTGTAGATTGATGAGAAAAAATAATAATTTAATAAATTTTAGAATAAGGCTGTAACGTAACAAAATGTGGAAAAAGTCAACGGGTCTGAATAGTTTCCAAATGCACTGTATATACAAAAGTATGTGGACACCCCTTCAAATTAGTGGATTCGGGTATTTCAGCCACACCCATTGCTGATAGGTGTATAAAATCTAGCACTCAGTCATGCAATCTCCATAGACAAACATTGGGCTCCTGAGTGGCGCAGCGGTCTAAGGCACTGCATCTCAGTGCTTGAGGCATCACTACAGACCCCCTGGTTCGATTCCAGGCTGTATCACAACCGGCCGTGATTGGGAGTCCCATAGGGCGGCGCACAATTGGCCCAGCGTCGTCCGGGTTTGGCCGGTGTAGGCCGTCATTGTAAATAAGAAT